GCGTGCATGTGCATGTGCGCCCACAATTCTGAGAAGAGCATGGAGGGGAAGGGATTGCTGCATGGCCATACCCCCTGGGGAGTGCTTTCTTACTTTCCCCTCCTCCTCTCCCAGAAGCACATGTGCTGTGTGGCAGATCATAAAAGCACACACAATCATGGAAAGATTTTAAAAATCTAGTGCAGAGAGTAAAGGAAGCAATACATACCAAAAGAAGTATGTTCATAAACACATTAGAAGGAATCATTTGTTAGAGAGGAAAATGGGAATAGGAAGTGGAGAGGAGAGGAAAAAATCAGTTAGGAAAAGGGTTTTACACAAGAGGGACTTCAGAGGCCAACAGGTGCTGTGGTGGCTAAGGCGCTGGACTCCCATATGGCCGGCCACAGTTCAAGTCCCAGATCTGGTGGTTTGCTTTCTGGCTTCCCTTCTCCGTCTCTGTCTCTCTGTCTCTGTGGTGAGCACACGTGCCCTGTAGAAAATGAAAAAATAATAGTGATGATTAGTAAAATTAAAGAAGTAATTTTTTAAAAAGACTTCAAAAGGTTCATGGAGAAGGTAGAATTAAGGTATGAAGTTATTTTGGTATAAAACTTGTTCTTTAAATTCTTGCATTGTGGGATGCAGTAGGATTAATGGCTGTGTCACTGGACTCCCACGCTGGGTGCGTGTGTGTGCATGCCCAACATGCCGAGAGGAGAATGGAGGAAAAGGGATTGTGGCATGGCCATCCCCCCGGGGGGTGATTTCTCACTTTCTGTCTCTCTGTCTTTCTGTCTTTCTGGTGAGCGCATGCACTCTATAGCAAAAACCTCTCAAAAAAACATCTTGTGTTGTTTATTTCATGCAGTTCTTTGAAGACCTCTTAAGTAGACATCATAATGTGCTGTGAAGTGCAGCGTGGTTAACTCAGTCTGTGGTACCCAAAGAGTAAAAGTGATGTCGGGCCTCATTTGGCAGTGGCATTAGGAGATGTACTCTAGAAAGGACTTGACCTTTTTTTTTTTTTTTTTCAAGAGAGATTTTTGCTGTAGGAGCATGTGTTTGCTGAACAGAGAGAGAGAGGAAGACAGAAAGTAAGAAATCACCCCCCAAGGCGGGGATGGCCACACAGCAATCTTGGGTGGGCACACACATTCACCTGCCATGAGTTTAAGCCACCAGAATCGTGACTGACCTCGATGGGATAACCACATCACTCCATCTGTTGGTCCCATTGATTTGCAATAATCTTAGGAAAACAAAATTGTACAGGAACAGCAAATTGAACCTTCATGCTATGTTTAAAACGGCTATGTATGGGGCTGGCAGGTGGCATGGTGGTTAAAGGTGCTGGACTCTCTCTCATGTGGCCTACTGCGGTTCAAGTCCTGGTCTTGGTCTCTCTGTCTGATCAAACTGGAAAATAATGATAGTAATAATAAAGTTAGATAAAATGTTTCTTTTTTTTAACGTATTTTTAAAATTTTATTCATCCATTCATTATTATTATTATTATTATTATTATTTGACTAGAGAGACAGAGAGAGAGGGAAACTGAGAAAGTGTGCCACTAGGTTCGGGACTTGAACCATGGTTGGCCATGCGAGAATGTTCTGTGCCTTAACCATCACGCCACCTGCTGGTTCCCAGATAAAATAATTCTCTAAAAAAAATAGAATACCTTGAAACTGCTGTGTGTATGTAGTCAGCCTGACTTTGTCTAATTTCTCTCTCACCACCCCCCACCTCACTTGACTGGGCTAGATTTCCATCTTTTAAAGTTATCGTAAATTATATCAGCATTGCGTGACTATGTTCTTGATGGGATAACCAAGTTAAAGTCATCCTGCCATACTGTCACTTCCCTCTCCAGAGATGACCACTCTATTTGGTACATAGCCTTCCAGATACCTTTTCATTACTTTTGCAAATATGTGTATACAGAAATAAATATTGATTTGTGGATATTAAGTACTAGTTTCTGTGTACTCTGTAATTTAAAAAGATTACTTAACTTTATGTATGTATGTATGTATGTATGTATGCATGTATTTATTTTTATTTGACCAGAGAGGCACAGAGCGACAGAAAGAGAAAGTGAAAAAGCAAACTGCCAGGTCTGGGACTTGAACCATGGTCGGCCATGTGGGAGTCCAGCACCCTTAATCACCATGCCACCAGCTGGCCCCTGTAATTTTTCTCGGGGGAGGGAAGAGGTTTTTGCTATGGGACGCGTGCACTTGCCAGAAAGACAGATAAAGACAGAGAGACAGAAAGTGAGAAATCACCCCCCGGGGGGATGGCTACGCAGCAATCCCTTCTCCTCCATTCTCCTCTTAGAATCTTGGGTACATACACATGCGCACGCACGCGTGCGCCCAGCGTGAGATTAAGCCATCAGGTCTGGGACTCGAACCATGGTCGGCTACATGGGAGTTTAGCAACATGGCCATTATGCCAACTGCTTGTCCCCTCTGTCTTTTTTTTTTTTCAAGAGGTTTTGCTTTAGGGTGTATGCGCTTGCCAGAGAGACAGACAGACAGACACAATGAGAGGAAAAGCAATAAATCAGCCCCTTAGGGGATGGCCATTCCATAATCCTTCCTCCTCCATTTGCCTCCCAGGATCTTGGGTGCTCACGCACACACACCTGGCATTACTTTCAAGCCACCGGGTTCAGGACTAGAACCGTGGTTGGCCATATGGGAGTCCAGCGATGTAACCATTGCCACTATTAGCTGGTCCCATGTAATTCTTTTTTAATTGTCAGAGGTTTATGCACTTGCCAGAGAGAGGAAGCATCTCCACAATGGGCTCTAGTCCCACTATTGTCTTTTTTTATATGTGTACATTTCTCCTTCCCATCAGGATTTCAGGCAGCACACACATACCCCTGGCATGTTTTTCAAGCCTCTGGAGCCACTCAAATCACAATTGGCCGTGTGGGACCCTGCTCCCAGGGCAGAGAGAGTACTTAACTGCTGCATTTCTTGCCTAGCCCTGTTATTTATTTATTTATTTTAATTTGTCTGAGAGCACATTTGTTCACTGAAGAGAACTAGAAAAAGGGAAAGCAAGAATGCACCCCCATGGGGGATGGTCACACCTCAATTCCTCCTCCTCCATCTCTTAACAGGATTTTGGGCAAGCACGCACGTGCGCACACACACACACGCACACGCCTGGCATATTTTTCAAGCCATGGATCTGAGACTTGAACCATATAACTGGCCATGTGGGACCCAGCCACCTTAACCATATCACCTGCTGGCCCTGTAGTTTTTTTTAATGTATGGGACTTGAATATCTTTCCATATTAGTATTCTGGATGAAAATATTTGCTGTGTAGAAATAGAGGTTTCTTAATATCCTTACAGGTTAAATCCTGTTTTAAGGATGAAGGTGTACAAGGATAACAGTTATGTTGTTGCTCCCAAGAAATTCACAGTTGGGGCCAGCAGGTGATGTGAAGGCGCTGGACTCCCACACGACTGATCGCAGTTTGAATCCTGGGCCTGGCAGCTTGCTTTCTCACTCTCTCTCTCTCTCATGCCCTGTAGCAAATTAAAAAGTAATAATGGTAAATAAAATTTTAAAAATAATTCTTCAAAGAAGAATTAACCTTAGTAGAAATGAAGTATATAATATACTAGACTAATTGTTCTAATGTAGATGCTTATCAAGTGTTATTATAGCACAGAGAAAAAAACACCTAACCTTTGAGAGAGAAGAACACCCCCAGAGAATGCTTAGAGGTGGTGAAGTGGATCGTCAGTGATTTAGTACTTTTATTTCTTAGATTTTGGACATAGGGCATGTGTGCTCACCAGAGAGGGACCAGAAGGAAGGGAAAGTGAGAAATCACCCCCAGAGGGAATGGCTATACTGCACTTCTTTCTATATACTTCTCTCTCAGGATTTGTAGACACCTCTCACGTGTCTGACTTGATTTTCAAGCCATCAGTACGGGACTCAGACCCCACCCACTTGGTCATGTGGGAATCCAGTGCCTTAACCACCACTCCACCTTCTGGCCCCTATGTTATGAGGGCTTTTTGTTTTGGTTTGTTTTTGTTTTTTAAAGGAATTATTGGGTCCCCCCCAAAAAAATTTATTGGGTCCAGTAGGTAGCATATTTACTTTGCCGGACTCTCATGTGGCCAACTGCAGTTCAAGTCCCAGACCCAGTGACTTGAAAATCATGCCAGGCACGTGTGCACACATGCCTGCAATCCTGGAGAGGGGATTGCAGTGTGGCCATCCTCCCTGAGGAGTGATTTCTCAGTTTCTCTTTTACTTTGTCTCTCACCAGCGAGCATATGTGTCCTAAGGCAAAAAACAAAAATCCCTCCCCCAAAAATCCTCTTTAAAGTTAAAAAAAAATAAAAAGAATGATTTATTTAATTTTATTTATCATTATTATTTAATTTACTACAGGGCACATGTGTTCATGGGGTTGGGAGATTGAGAAAGGAAGCTACCAGGCCCAGGACTCAGACTGCAGTTGGCCATGTGGGAGTCTAACACCTTAGCCACCATGCCACCTGCTGGCTCCTGTGTGTGAGTTTTTAAGGTGACTATTGTACAGATCATCTATGTCCTGAAATGACTGAGTCATTTATTGGATTCATCCTTGTTATTTTAAAATGCATGTCATCACATTTTGCCAGCAACCATTCTTTTGGCATCCTAAGTCTTGGTTCTGAAAGCAAACTCTTTATCATGTGACTGTCTTTGAGAAGTTTTATTTAAGAATTATTTTACTTAATTTTATGTATTATTATTTCTAATTTGACCAGAAGGAAGAGAGAGAGAAAGTGAGAAAGCAAGCTACCAGATCCAGGACTTGAACTGCAGTCGGCCATGTGGGAGGGAGTCCAGTGCCTTTAACCACTACACCACTTGCTGGCCCTGTCTTTGAGAATTTTGACAGCATTAAACACCAGAAATTACTTCTCTTAATACTTTTGTATTTCATCATGTAGAGGATTATATGAATATATTTTTCTCTTCTTTAGGGAGGTGGTTGACTCCATGGTTCAGCATTTTAAAGTAACTATATTTGGAGATCGGAGGCCAGTTTATGATGGAAAAAGAAGCCTTTACACGGCAAATCCACTCCCAGTGGCAACTACTGGGGTAAGACCAGCATTTCTTTATTGGAAAGCTTTACTTCCTATAATGTTTCTTTTTAAATATGTGTATTACTATATTTTATTACAGTCCGTGTGTGTATTGCTTACCTTCTTCAACTTTTTATTTTGAAATAGTTTAACAACTTAAAGAAAAGTTGTAGGAATCATGCAGAGAGTTTTCATGCACCCTTCCCCCAGATTCACAAAGGTTCTTAATGTTTGCCGCATCTGCTTTTTTCTTTTTCTCTTTTGCTTTCTCTTTATAGATATATGTCTACCTTACCCATTCATGAGTAGGTTGCCTACATCATGCTCCTTAAATGTTTAATATTTTAATGTGCATTTTCCAATAACAAGAATGAAAACCGTAGTAGTTGTTAGACTCACTAAATTTAACAGTGATGTCATTTTCTCCAGCCAGTGTCATATTCCAGCTTTGGCGATTGTTCCATTCATGTCCTTTAGCATCCCCCTCCTTACGCCTGTGTAGAATCCAGTCCAGGATCCAAATGTAGATACCATGTTTTCAGTACTTATATTCTGGAACAATTCCCCAGAGTGTTTTTTCCTTCCTTTTATGACATTAATATGATTGAAGACTACAGGCAAGTTATTTTGTAGACTATCCCTAAATTGGATTTGTCTGATCCTACCCCTTAATTACATTCTGGTTACACATTTAAAAAAATTACCAGAGTGTTTACGCACTCAATAAAGCGAGAGCGAGAGAGGGAGAGGGAAGGGGGAGAGAGGGAGAGGGAGAGGACATCTCCCGGTAGAGCATGATCACATCCCAAACCCTTTTCCATTGCAGGGTTTGGGACATGTACTCACATGTGACAGGCATGTTTTTCAAATCACTGGGATGGGGATTCAAATCGCATTTGGCATGGACCCGACCCTGGCTGTAAACTTTTGGTAGAAATATTACGTAATTGTTCTTTCCTTATCAGAACATCAAATCAGGCATATAGTAAGTATTTGCTCCACTAATGGTTATGTTAATTTTGATCACTTGGTTAGGTTGGCATCTACCAGGTTTCTCTTGTCAAGGTCCTTTTTTTTTTCTCCTTATATTAATAAGTATCTTGTGGGAAGATACTTTTTTTAAAGAATTTTTTAAAAATTTATTTTTCTTTAACTTTATTTATTATTATTTTCCAATTTGACCGGGGTGGGGGCGGGGGTGGGTGGAGAGAGTGAGAAAGGAAACGAGGTCCAGGACTTAAGCCGTGGTTGGCCATGTGGGAGTGTCTAGCACCTTAACCACCACACCACCACCTGCTGGTCCCCTGAAGAATTTTTTTTAACTTTATTTATTATTATTTTCCAATTTGACCGGGGTGGGGGCGGGGGTGGGTGGAGAGAGTGAGAAAGGAAACGAGGTCCAGGACTTAAGCCGTGGTTGGCCATGTGGGAATCCAGCATCTTTAACCCCACCTCACTTGCCAGCCCAGGAAGATACTATTTTTAAAAACGCAAAAAATGCATAACATAAAATTATTTGATATGTAAAGTAAATATTTGTGGACAAATGTAAAAATAAATGGAAAGTTTTTAAAAATGCACAACATAAAATTTGCCATCTCAACCATTTATAAAGTGCAATTCAGTGGTATTAAATACATTCACATTGTATAATCATCACTGCCTTCTATCTCTAGACCTGTCTTTTTCTTGCAAAACTGAAACTTTGTACACAGTAATTCACTATTGCCTCTTCCCTTCAGCCCCTGGAAATCACCATTCTAGTTTCTGTCTTTATGAATTTGAGTACTCATATAACTGGATTATGCAGTGTTTTTCTTTCTGTGATTAGCTTAATTCACTTTGTATAATGTCCTGAAGATTTAATCCATGTTGTAGCATATGTTGGGATTTCTTCTTTTTCTTTCTTTCTTTTTTTTTTTTTTTAACTTTTTTCTTTTCTTTTTCTCTAGGTTTTTGCTATAGGACTAGAGAGAGACAGTGAGAGGGATAGTGAGAAATCACACCCCAGGGAGGGTGACCATGATGCAATCTCTTCTCCTCCGTCCTCCTGGGATTTTGGGCATGCATGCACACATATACCCAACATAATTTTCAAACCGCGTGTCTGGGTGAGGGGTCAGACCATGCCAGCCATGTGGGAGTCCAGCATCCTAACCACTGCACCACCTGCTGGCTCAATTTCCCTCCTTTACAAGGCTGAGTAATATTCCTTTGCATGTGTGCAGTGCATTTTGTTTATTCATTCATCCATCAGTGGATACCTTTTGGCTATTGGAAACACTCCTGCCATGAACCTGGGTATATAAGTCTCTCTTCAAGACTCTGCTTTCAGTTCTTTTGCGTATATACCCAAGGGAGAAATTGAGATTTTTGCTATAGAGCACATGTGCTTGCCAGAGAGACAGAAAGTGAGAAATCACCCTCCAGGGGGGTGGTCATGCCATATTCCCTTCTCCATTCTTCTCTCAGAGGTTTGGGCGCACACACACGCACACACACGCGCACACACACACACACACACACACACACACACACACACACAAAGTTCCCGGCATGAATTTCAAACCTCTGGGTCTAGGACTTGAACCATAGTCGACATTATACCATCTACTGGTCCCGGTAATGTTAATGTTTTGAAAATCTGCTGTGCTGTATTATAAAGCAGCTGTACTATTTTACATGCATGGTGGGCACATGCATGCCCAGCATCCTCAGGGAGATGTCTCCAAATGTTCACTTGGAACCTTCTCATGAGGGTCAGCTCACAGAGTACCATGTGCTGCCACTACCTACTGTCTGGACAGCTCCTTTTTCTGTTTTGTTTGTCTTTTAATAGCAGGACCCCTAATGTGCATGAGATGATAGCTTACCGTGGTTTTTATTTGCATTTGTCCCTGCCCCAATAATTAGTGATGTTGAGCATCTTTTCATGTACTTATTAGCCATTTGTATGTCTTCTTTGGAGAAATATATATTCAAATTCTTTTCCTAACTTTTATTTAATTGCCAGAAGGCACCTGTGCTCACCACAGAGAGAGAGAGAGATAAAAAGAGGAAACACCCAGTGGGGTATGGTCACACGGCAATCCTTTTCCTCCATTTCTCCATCCCATCAGGATTTGAGGCATGCATGCATATGTTCCCAGCATATTTTACAAGCCACTGAGGCTAGATTTTTTTTTTTTTTTTAAGGATCCTATTTCTCATTAGACATTTTAACAATTGAGGAGTCTTACTGGAGAGGACTGTTACCAGTTAGTAACGGGGGGTTTTTTAGTTCTAGCAATCCTACATTTGTTAGTGTTCTGCTGGAAGGCAGAGCATTTTCTGCTGCCCTGTTTATTGACCTCTCACAAATTGTCCTAGATTTGGCCAGTGGGAGCCCTGAGCTGGCGCATGTGTCCTTGTGATAGGGTACATTTTTTTCCTCTTTGAATACTTTATTACTTTCTTGCACGATATGTTCTAGGTTCATCTTATGTTTTCTTCTGCTACAAATGCTGTAAGTAACCATTGCTCAGAGGAACCCTAATACTTTTTTTTTTTTTTTTTGCTGGAAATGCAATTTTGAAACCAAACTGGGAACTGGATATGTTCATTGCTACTTGGGTATATATTCTTCTGGTTATTTTAGTGGTGAGAGGAAGAGAATATAAATAAGTACGTGAATAAAACAGACTGTAGTTTTCCTTTTGCTTCGTTGCCCCCTGGAAGCAGGATGGGTCCTCAGCAGCTCTGCTGGAGCCACCTGTGAAAATTTGACCAGGGTTCTTGCTCTTGCGATGTATGCTCACTGGCACAGTCTGATACGGAAATATGGCCTCAATGTGCCATCAGTGGCCCTGTCAGTACTCAGAGGACATGGGATTCATCAGGTTGGAAGAAGTGATCTTCCTTGAATGGATTGTCCAGGATATCTACCCAGTGAAAGAAATCATGCTATTTGTATATAAAATAAAATAAAAATAGACAGTAAAGGGACCAGCAGTTGGCATAATGGCTATGTCGCTGGACTCCTATGTAGTCGACCGCGGTTTGAGTTCCAGACCCAGTGGCTTGAACTCACACCGGGCACGTGTGCGTGCGTGCCCAAGATCCCGAGGGGAGAATGGAGTAGAAGAGATTGCGGGGTGGCCATCCCCCCTGGGGGTGATTTCTCACTTTCTGTCTCTCTGTCTCTCTCTGTCTTTCTGGCCAGCACATGCACCCTATAGCAAAAACCTCTCCAAAAAAATAGACAGTAAAAACAAAATTACATTTCATATCGTAAATCAAACGTGTATGTGTTGGAAATCATGAGTTCACACTGATTCTTCTAGTCCCAGCTTTTCCTCACAAGATCCTTCCTTTGCTTACCCCTGTTATGTACTCTTGAACTCCCAAGGCATCAGCACTTTTTGTCATTTGCTCAGTTTCTCCAGTACATAGAAATTACTTTCTGAATTACTGTGCTCATCCCACTAACAGGAAAGCCTGCTACTGAGAGCTCAAGGTTGTTTTGTTTGCAGTTCCTCTCCCAGACCTACACTTCCCCACCATCCCCTCCAGACTGAAGGCACAATAGCATTCTGTGTTTAAGACTTACTTGCAATAATTTCTTTCTTTCTTCAATGTGATGGTGTTTGATACGCATTTGGGTTCATTTGATTCTGTTTATGTTCAGTTTTATTTTTTTCCCCTCTATTCTTGATGTTTAAAAATGCTTCTAAACATGAAACTATACCAAAAAATATACTCAGGAATTATTCCTCATTTATTTCTTCCAATCTGTTCTCTCCCGTTTTTTGAAGGTAACCAGTTTCTGGAACAGCTGGTGGTTAAGGCAGCTGGATCCCACATGGCCAGCTGTGCAGTTTGAATCTCGTACCTGGCAGCTTGAAACAAAAGCACTTGGTGCATGTGCATGCATGCATGTATGCCCAAAGTCCTGAGAGGAGAAGGGAAGAGAAGGGGTTAAGGCATAGCCATCTCACCTGGGGGGAGCTTTCTTACCCACCCCTGCTCTCCAGCATGCATATATACCCTGTAGTAAATTTTAAAAAACCGAAGAAAGAGAAAAGGTGGGCATAGTGAGAGATCCTGACAGCCAGGAAAAGGCAGGAGGGAAAAAAAGGAAAGAAACTTAACCAATTTCTTTGTTTCTGGTTCATTCTTTCTGTATGTCTTTTTGAAAAAGTAAGCAAATGCCTGAATATTTTTTTATAACTCCTTCTTTCTTACGCAAAACATGTCATAATATCTATAGTCTTTTGTCCTTTGCTTTTTTTTTTTTTTTTTAGGTTTTTGCCATAGGGCGCATCGTTCACCAGAGAGAGGGAAAGTGAGAATTCATCTTTGGGGGATGACTAAACCGCAGTACCTTCTCCTCTGTCCTGTTCTCTTTGCAGGATTCTGGACATGCACACATGCTCCTGGTGTGATTTTCAAGCCACCATTTCTGGATTTGAACTGCAGTCAGCCATATGGGAATCCATTGTCTTAACTGTCATAGCACCTGCTGACTGTACTTTGCTTTTTAACTTAACAATATAACTAGAAAATTATTCCATCGAAGTTCCAAGAGATCATCGTTCTTTTTATTTATTTATTTTTTTAAGTTTTTGCCTGTGGGAGAGAGACAGTGAGAGGGAAATTGAGAAATCACCCCCCAGGGAGGATAGCCATGCCACAATCCCTTCTTTTTTAAAAAATTTTTTTATTTATTCCTTCATTTATTTAAATTTTGACCAGAGAGAGACATGGAGAGAGAGAGAAGGAAAGTGTGAAGGGAAGCTACCAGGTCCGGGACTCGAACCGTGGTTGGCCACATGGGAGTGTCCAGCGCCTTAACCACCATGCCACCTGCTGGTCCCACCACAATCCCTTCTTCTCCATTCTCTTCCCAGGACCTTGGTGCACACACACCACTTGCCCAGTGTGATTCTCAGGCTGCCAGGTCTGGGACTCAAATTGCCATCAGCCATATGTGATTCTAACACTCCAACCACCTTGCCACCTGCTGGCCTCCATCATTTTTTTAAATAGGTGCCTAAATGTTAGACTGTTTAGATAACATTTTGCAGTGACAGAGCTGGCCTGAATAACTGTGTTATTTAAATTTTAGTCTGTTGATTTGACATTGAGTTTTTTTTTTTTAATTTTTGTCTTGTTTTCTCTTAGATATTTTTATAAGTTAGACTTAAGATAATTGTACTTGGTTTTTTTTTTTTTTTTTTTTTGACATTTACCAGCTCACTCTTCACATCAACAGGTAGATTTAGATGTTACATTACCTGGGGAAGGTGGAAAAGATCGCCCTTTCAAGGTGTCGATTAAATTTGTCTCTCGGGTGAGTTGGCACCTATTGCATGAAGTACTTACAGGCCGGACCTTGCCCGAGCCACTGGAATTAGACAAGCCGATCAGCACGAACCCTGTCCATGCCGTCGATGTGGTGCTACGCCATCTGCCCTCCATGAAGTGGGTACTTTCTTGCCTCTTTTCCTCTTTAGATTTTAAATGTGAAGGTCCCCCCACCCCAGGAATGAGTTGTGCGGGTCTTCCTTGGTTAACCTCCATATGTTGTGTATTCTGATTATTTCTGTTGAATAAGAATAGCTTGCATAGATAAAAATTAATTGAGGAAGTCACAGAAAATTCCATGACTTTTGCAAATAACATAAATCATTAGATTTATAAGTAAACATAAAGTATTAAGTAGATTAGCTATATAAGTTTAAGTAAAGTATTAAATAGATTAACTGTTCAAGTAAACATAAAGCATTAAATTGATTTGCTATTTAAGTAAATGTAAAGCATTAAATCGATTAGCTATTCTGGTGATTTTTTAGAAAAATGACCCTTTCTCATAGAGTTGTAAGTCTTGAATAACTAATATATTTTCTGCTAACATTGTTTTAATAGTAATTTCGCTGTTTATGTGGTAGTATCAAATTGCTTTAAAATCACTACTCTTAATTATACTAGCACGCCACATATGTGTATATACATATAGACACACACACTTAACACATACAAGACCAGTATGTCTTTTTAAAAAAAAATAGTATGTCTCATAAGCACATTTATAGAAATAGCTTGTTGATTAATAATTATTCACTCTTTTTTTTTTTTTTTTTTTAAATTAGAGTGAGATTTTTGCTATAGGGTGCGTGTGCTCACCAGAGAGACAGAAAGCAAGACATCGGCCCCCGGGGGAATGGCCATGCCACAATCCCTTCTCCATTCTCTTCTCGGGATCTTGGGTGCACATACACACGTGCGCCCGTCAAGAGCTTTAAGCTGCCAGGTCCAGTACTCGAACCGTGTTCAACTAGGTGGATGTCCAGTGATGTAACCATTATACCATCTGCTGGTCCCAATAATTATCTACTCTTTAGTGTTTGTAAGGTTGGAACTGTTAACCTTTTTGACCTTTTTCAAGAAAATATTTGAAATAAAATTGTTTTAATTCAAACTAACATTAGTTTTGAGACTAGAATTTCAGTGAATGATGCAGATGAATTTTCATTTAAAATAGCTACTTTTTGCTTTCACAAATTTAAAAATGTTTAGTTTCATGTATTCATAATGGTAAGTATCATCATAGTAAATAGATTGTCTGTACTTGAGTCTCGCTTCTCTTGCAGATTTAAATCATTGAATGGGAAGGAAAGAGCTGAACATGTTATTTTAATTTTTGTAGGTATACGCCTGTAGGGCGTTCCTTTTTCTCAGCTCCAGAAGGATATGATCACCCTCTGGGAGGGGGCAGGGAAGTATGGTTTGGATTCCATCAATCTGTTCGGCCTGCCATGTGGAAAATGATGCTTAATATTGATGGTAAGGGAGCTAAAGCCTTGTTTTGTAATGGCTAGTTGACTTTCATGTGGTGTATGTGTGTGTAAATTTTATATATAATTTTATGTACTGGTGTTTGGAAGTAATGTTCAGACATGTTATTATGACAAACTAGAAACATCTTTATATTCTTTCTACATTTCACATAGAAGCCTTTATGTAGAACTTGTCCTGGAATGCTACTAAACATGAAGTGAGCACATAAAAACCAGCAGGAAAGTCCTGATGCAGTCGTCTTGCTCACTGCTTGCTTTTCAGCCTAGCCATCTTTTCATTATGAAGTACCTATGTTAAAGAAAGGACCATCTGTTGGTCATGGCGACCCCAGGAATTGTGCCTGAGGCTGGTGCTTAAGGAGCTAATTGCATTCTCCAGTTTGTCTAAACATAGATTTAGTTGTGTGCTGAACTGTACCAGGTATGGAGCCATTATTCGGCTTGTTGGGATTTTTCTGCCTTTGCTTTATCTGTCAACATTGCTTCCTCTAATGTCGTATTTTTAAACCAAATACGAGATAGCTACTTATTTTGTCCCTGCTACTCCAGTGCACACTTCTAAAAATATGGGTGGTTTCTTATACAGTAGCAATGCCATTATCATATGTTAGAAGCTTAAAAATCATTTATTCATGCTCTCTGGTATGTCTTTCTTAGCCCACTCACTCTGAATGTGAGGTGTGTAGTAGGGCCAGAAATCCAGATAGGAACCACACATCACATTTGGCTGTTACGTGTTTTTAGATCATGTAGTCTCATTTACTTCCCTCTTGTTTGTTGGAACTTTTTTCCTCTTTTTAAATACCACTAACTTTATTGGAGATAATTGGTCACTTGTCCTATAGCATATTCCCAAATCTGAATTTGACTTTTGTTCTCTTGTGTCACTACCTTGTTCCTCTATCCCCTCTATTTCCTAAAAATGAAAATCAGCCTGAGAAGTTTTAGTCAGCTCTGGTTCAAAATATGTTATGGGTGCTGTATATTGTATCATAGTAGGTGCACAGTATCCAATGTCTCAGTTTTAATGATGCTAAGATTAATCCATGGGTTCAGAGATAAGTCAGTAGGTTCAGAAATCTCTCCATTGTAAACTTCCCAGTGACACTTTAATGAAGTCTTCTATTCAGTGATTATTGTTACCTCATTCATTTCACTGGGCATTACCAAATGGTAAATTGTCCAATTCTGTTGTTATTTTTTGGGTTACATGGAAAAGTACAATGTTCTATTGATAATTTATTAGGGTTTGATAGCTTTCATGCTTTCTGGCACAGCAGAATGTTCCAGGCTCATCTTACATATCTTGCCTGGTATCTGGAATTAACCATTCCTTCACGTGTTCCTGGATCTTTTCAGATTGGTACATAGTTTCCTCACTTCTTTCAGCTGTATCTCCCATTGTGGAAATATATAATAGAAGGGGAGGTATTTATCCAGATCTCTTTATGTGTTTATTAGGGCTATTTTTAATTATTTACTCTTTCAGAACATCAGTTAATAGATATTAGATGTGTCTGTAAGATAAATTCCTGAGGGTGAGATCAGTTATTATTGCCAGATTGTTTTCCATTGAAGTTGTAAACATTTTGCAAAATAAATTAGTTTCCTTAGTATTTTTGCCACTAGAATCTTCAAGTTCATAGATTTTTGTCAATAGATTTATAGGCTAGTAGGTGGTGTGGTGGTCTAGGTGCTGGACTCCCATATAGCCAACTGTGGTTCGAGTTCCGTACCTAAAGACTTCCTTTCCTTCTGTCCCTATCTCGCTCTCTGTCTGTCTCTCCCTCTTCAAATTAAGCAAATAATAATGATGATAATAAATGAAATAAAATAATTCTTACAAAAGAAACCATTCTCTCATGTACTTTAACTTTGCATTTTGGCCATCTTTTCATGTATGTCAAGGTCTCTTGTATTTCTTTCTGTTTTGTTTGTTTTTTAGATTTGCTTACTTTTTTCTTTTTTAGAGGTTTTTGCCACAGGTTGTGTGCGCTCACCAGAAAGACAGAGAGACAGAGAGATAGAAAGCAAGAAATCACCCTCTGGGGGGATGGCCACGCCGCAATCCCTTCTCCTGCATTCTCTTCTCGGGATCTTGGGCATGCACATACATGCGCCCAGTGTGAGTTTAAGCCACCGGGTCCAGGACTCAAACTGCAGTCGGCTACATGGGAGTTCAGCAACATAGCCATTACGCCAGCTGCTGGTCCTGATTTGTTTACTTTTAATTTATTATTATTATTCAATTCAATTTTTTTTTCTTTTTTTAGAGAGGTTTTTGCTGCAGGGCACGTGCACTCGCCAGAAAGAGAAAAAGAGAGACACAAAGCGAGAAATCACCCTCCAAGGGGGATGGCCATGCCGCAATCCCTTCTCCTCCATTCTCTTCTCAGGATCTTGGGCACACACGCACACGTGTCCGTCATGAGACTAAGCCACCGAGTCCAGGACTCAAACCGCGGTTGGCTACATGGGAGTCCAGCGACATAGCCATTATGCCAACTGCTGGTCCCAATTTGTTTACTTTTAATTTATTATCATTATTCTTCAGTTTTGACCAGAGAGAGACAGAGAGAAAGGGAGAGTGCGAAAGCAAGCTACCAGGTCTGGGACTTGAACCGTGGTTGGCCATGTAGAGGTCGAGTGCCTCAGTCACCATGCTGCCTGCCAGCCCGTCATGTGTTTCTTTTAAATGAACTATTGGTTTGTGTTCTTAGCTCCCTTCCCTCCTTTTGTATTAGAATTTTAGTCTTTTCATTTGCCAGGAGCACTTCTAAGCCTTTTGAACTCATATTTGTTTATAAGGTGATTTACAGATAGATCTGTGTTACTATTTATCCTTTGACTTGTGGTGTAATGGAGTTTTAGATTATTGTTTTGTTGTTTTAGGCCCATCTTTTTTTTCTTATGCAGAAATTCATCTTCTGACACACATATATTATTTTTCAGTCATTTCTTTTATTACCTTTACTATCTGATTGGGCTAATCCCATTTTTTCTTTGCAGGGTTTTCCTGGCTATTCTTACTTGTTTTATAATCATATAAGCTTAGAAATGCCTTGTCTAGATCCAGTAGGTGGAAGACAACAGGTTTTTATTTTCACTAAGATCAGATTTATCGATTAATTTAGGGCAACTGGCATCTTTAAGGTGTTGAGCTTTTCTGTCTATTAATTATTGTGTTGGGACAACTGGGTGGTGTGGTGATTGGAGTGACTGAATCCCACATAGCAGATTTTGTGGTTCAAGTCCTAGACTGGAAGGCTCAGGGAACGTGCTGGCTGTGTGTGTGCGTGGATGCCGAGATCCCAAGAGGAGATTTAGGCATGGCCATCTGGGAGAGGGGGTGGTGTTACTTTTCACTTTTTCCTCCTCTCTTTATGTCTGTTTCTCTCTGGTGAGAGCATGTGCCCTATAGCCAGAAAAAAAAAAAAAAAAAGAAGAATAGACTGTCCTGTGTGTTCAAGACTACTTTCGTTTCATTCAGGAGAATTTTTAAATTTTACTCACATAAATTTTGCACGTTTCTTGTTACTCTTGAGTAGTTTTTCTTTTTGTTGTTGTTAAATGGGTTTGTAGATTCTGCTTATTGCTTATATTCATGAAGGCGTTTGGTTTCTGTATTCAGGATGAACGTCCCTAATGCATAAATCCCAAATTCTAACTACTTTGAAATCTGAAATTTTTTTGTGCTGATGCGACACCACAAGAGGAACATTTTTTTTGCAGGGGTAGAGGTTTTTGTTATAGGGCGCGGGCATTTGCCAGAAAGACAGAGAAAGAGACAGAAAGCGAAAAATCATCCCCCAGGGGGGATGGCCATTCCGCAATCCCTTCTCCTCCATTCTCCTCTCGGGATCTTGGGCACGCACGCACATGTGGCCGGCGTGAGTTTAAGCCTCTGGGTTTGGGACTCAAACCATGGTCGATTACATGGGAGTCCAGCAACATAGCTATTACGGTAACTGCTGGTCCCCACAAGAGGAAAATTTAACATCTCTCATCATGTGATGGGTAGCTTTATATTTTATATATAGTTACCTTTAGGCTGTGCATATAAGGTGTATATAAAGCATAAATGGGGGCTGGCAAGTGGTGTAGTGGTGAAGGTACTGGACTCCCACGTGACCAACCATGGTTTGACTCCTAGACATGGTGGTTTTCTTTCTCACGCTTCCTCTTGCTCTCTATGACTCTCTGTGGTTAAATTTTAAAAGAAAGAGAGGAAGGAAGGAGGAATAAGAAATAAAATTGAATCAAATAATTCTTTAATAAATAAAGCATAAATGAATTTTGTGGTTAAACTTGGGTCTCATTCCCAAATTACCACATTATGTATACACATATGTTTCAAAGTCCAAAACACGTCTAGTCCCAAACACTGAGTATGGGCTACTCAATCAGAAACGAACTTTTTTCTCTGGCTTATTGAATCCATTATTCATGATAGTATTTCTCAAGTGATATCCTTGGGATTTCTAGGTTGTAATAGTATCATTTGCAAATAGTGATAAGTTTAGGCAGACACAGATCGTGGGCCACAGGTCAGCTGACCCAAGGGGCCCTCTAGTCAGTTAATGTCGCTCGTGAAGTCCTCAGAGTTGCTGCCACAATGGCTAGCCCGTCACGGGGTCCCGTGGTGGCTGCCGAGAAGGTGTCTGAGGCCCACAAGTGAAAGAACCAGAGGCTGAAGCAGGCCAAAGAAGCTCAGGCTGAAACTGAACAGCACCATCTGCACAGGAAGAAAGCTCAAGGCCAAGGAAACTGTGGGGATCATGATGCTTTGGGGTCCCGGTAGTTGCAGCGCTGAGGTGAAGGAGGAGACCCAGGAGACGACCAACCTCCAGAACTACTGGGTAACCTCTTGACCTTTGTCTGTAACATCCCGCCAGAAACCCATGAAAAACTCCCGCGTAAATGGATAGAAGAACGAAGTGCCCATCCCATGGATTGGCGGTTTAGATGCCCTCGTGGAATATGAAG